AATGTCTCACCGTGAATGTTTATTATGTGAACCACCAGATTTGAGGAACCCTCCGTTGATAATAGATCTTTATTTCTTATCCCTTCATTTTGCAGATCCTTGGTACTTAGATGTTGGTGAATCAATTGTAAAATCTCTTAATCTGTACACGAAAGTGGCAGGAGGATTTGCAAGTGTTAGAGATGTAACAACTATGCAACTGGAAGATCATCAGCACAGTTTCTTTCTTGCTGAAACGTGAAATTGATGTTCACTTCCTTAAACGTAATTCTTTTCGTACCTATACAATGTCAGAACATCATATTGGTTGTCATCTCACATTCGCAGGTGCAAGTACTTGTATCTCCTCTTCGATGATTCATTTGTGGCCAAAAAGAATTACATATTTACAACCGAGGGCCATCCTATACAGGTCACGAGCTCCTGGCATGAGAAACTACCAGAAAGTTATTTCTCAGGCAACTGGACGTTTTCGAAGGTCTGGCACTTGTTCTGGTTCTGATCATTTTGGAAGAAATTAGACTCATATGCATAGCCTACTATCGCATTATTAGTCATTTCTCTGCTTCCGCTAAACAAGTAATTTGCAGAGTGGAGCATGGGAAAGCCGAGCAAGCGCAATGTCACTGCGAGTCTGTCCATCGATGGCTCTCAACTCTAGACATCCTGAGCAACAGAGAGAGAGTGTTTGCCATGTCCCTGACGAGAAAATCAGTCATAGGTGTTGGAGCAACAAAGAGTGTGGAGTTGACGCCACTAGCTGTAGACAAAGAATCTGCAGTGGGGTTGGATTCTGCGGCCTATGGAAGCCCTTATAACATTATAGTATACACAATACAGAATACATGGTCTGAGTTTCAGGAAAGGAAAGCATGTTTTGGTGGACAACAAAATGATAGAGATGATAGTTTTTGCAAGATGCTGCTCTATCATTTCTTTGTTATCAGATCTTGACATGGAATTTCACTTGTTATATACTGTGGGAGGATCAACTCTATCTAATGTGGACAATATGTTTATCTTGATTTTGCTTCATGAAATGGTAGTTCTGGGATTTTGGAATCTGACATAAGCTGTCTTACCATTAGACAGTTAACATAAAACTTGTCATTTCAATTCACCACCGATACTCACGCATCCTGAAGGAAATCATCTCGTAATGCTGATGTTAGCAAACTAACCATATGATGGTCTATACAGCCTACACTTAGCAAACTAACCATATGATGGTATACAGCCTACACCACATCTTTGTAAGACTATCTGCCAAAATACATCATGTTAACAAGTAAAAGTTATACATGCGTCATATGTGCTATCAAGTACTACCTGCAACAGTCATTGATTTCAAATCTTTAAAACCCCTCAGTTTTGTAGGGTTGGATTTTTCTTACTTTTTGCAGTTTATGATCCAGAAAAAAAAAAACAGAAAGCAATCCAAGAAAAGGCTTGACAATAGAATCGCCAAAGTATTTGAACATGATATATCCTCAAGTATATATAGAAAAACATTGCAATAGCTTTGATCTTTATTGGGTTTCATGTAAGGGTTTTATAAGGCAGACGCATCCACCTTCTGAGTTCAGATATTACTGATAAACAACTTGACCTCTGAGATTGACAGAAATGTAAAACAAACAGACTAAGATTCGACAGAAGAGGCTGCGTCATCTTTGTGCTTAATCATGCCCGAGTCGACAAGAATTGGAATCTCTGCAGCAAGCCATGGTGCGAGCCCCAAACAAAGAGCATGTGCTATACCAAACCGAGGACTGCATAAACAAAAGTAACTCATCAAATGCCACGAAATGGATTGCATAATGAGTTCATCATCATCGGAATTCTGGCTCGTACTGAAAATTATCAGAAAACTTCTTAACACGAGCTTAGTACTAGAGTTTGGAGGTCTAAATGAATGATCAGAAGAGAACAACAAACAACAAAGCAGTCTAACTAACATCTTAGGGCTATGATTCTTTGATAATTCATCTCAAAATCGATCACTGGGAAAGTAGTGGCTGCTTCCGTTACATACACAATGCATAGGCATAAGAAAGTACCAGTTTTTGGCCCAGAGAGGCTTGAAATGAACAGTGAGGCATATCTTCCCACCTCGATACATCTTCTGGGTCTTGCCGTCAATCTGAGGCAACTCAAGCTCGGGAGCAGTGGCTGGGTAGGTGATAGGGATATCGAACTGGAGATCGAATTCATATTTGAGGAGGTTATGAACATACCAACACTTTCCAGTCCAACGCGTACCATCAGGGTTAGAGGCGGAGATACGGAACCAGTCGTTGTCGTTGGACTTGTTCATCTGTGTATACGCAATCAAAGACTTGTATTCTTCTTTCAGCCTCTGCGTCCATGCCTCGCCGTCTCTTGGCCCCGCCTTTGTCGTCAGTAGCGGAATCTGCTTCAACGTCGACTTCGTGCTCGGATCCCATCCTTCCATCTTCTCTCCGTCCTTCTTCTCGCACCGATTCTGCTCTCAATTTCTCTTGCCGATGCTCGATCGATTCGGATTC